GATAGGGGGGGGACTGGCCCTGACCTTCCAGGAGGGCCAAAAGATAGCACCAGGACGTCGACGTCCTAATTCCTGTCGAGGTTTGAGGCAATCCAGATAGATCTATAGGTCTGGAGTGCTATTTTTTAGCGCTCTGGAAGGTCAGGGGGCGTAGGGGGGGATGCGTCGACCTGGAATCGGCAATGCATCGCTGATAGATCGGCTACAGGCCTCCGCGAATCCGCACTTTCCCGGGCAGGCTGGGACCATCGGGCCCTCATCGGCGATCAGTGGGCGATTGGGGGTCGATGCATCCCCCCCTGTGCCTATCCCCCCTCATCGTTGCCCCCGACAGGAGCATCCAGCAGGCACGCAGAGCTTGGGGGGCACCCTCCCCGAGCCGACCGATCTCTTTTACGCCTCGGTCGGACCGTGGCGGGGCTGGGCGGCGGCCGACGGGGAAGGCGCTCGAGGCTCCCCGCAGAGCGGCCGTCGCAGAACGCCCGTGCCGCACGCCCGAGGGGTGCGGCCCGGGGCGAGCGCGAGAAGGCGCGGCGGTGCCTGCCGTGCGGCAGGAAAGGCCGACGGGCCCGTGCGTGCTCCGAGGGAGCGGCTACACCCCTGCAGCCTGATGCGCTTCATGGTTTTCCTCCTCCCCCTCCCCCTTCTCCTCCTCCTCCTCCTCCTCCTCCTCCTCCTCCGCCCCCTCCTCCTCCTCCTCCTCCTCCTCCTCCTCCTCCTCCTCCTCCTCCTCCTCCTCCTCCTCCTCCTCCTCCTCCTCCTCCTCCTCCTCCTCCTCCTCCTCCTCCTCCTCCTCCTCCTCCTCCTCCTCCTCCTCCTCCTCCTCCTCCTCCTCCTCCTCCTCCTCCTCCTCCTCCTCCTCCCCCCCTCCCCCTCCTCCTCCTCCTCCTCCTCCTCCTCCTCCTCCTCCTCCTCCTCCTCCTCCTCCTCCTCCTCCTCCTCCCTCCTCCTCCCTCCTCCTCCTCCCTCGCAGCGGCAGCCTTGCCACGCTGTTCGGCAGGCCCGGCGAGAGCGCGGGCCAGTCGAGCAGCTCCAGGGCGCTGAGCAGCAGACTTGACCGGGGATGTGTCGACCCCAGATCCCGGGCGTCGTGTGGTTCTCGAAGGGACCAGACATTCGGGGCTCAGCTCGGGGACACATGTATGTATATATATATATATAAAATATGTGTGTAGACAGGGGGGGTCCATCCTCGATAAGAGGTGCGTCCGATGAGCCCCCCTGGGGTGCATCCCCGAGCTCCCTCCTTGTCTAACTATTGACAGGGGGCGTCCATCCTCGATAGGGGTGCGTCCGATTCGCCCCCGTGGGGTGTCCCCCAGTTTCCCTCCTTCTCTGAGCGGCCTGATGTGTTCGTAGAGAAGTCAAGGGTTTAGGGGCGTCTGCAGGGGTTGGGGGCGACATATGCATTCGCCAGCCCTCTAGGCTTCGGTGATATAACGGGCGGCTTGTGTCTTCTCTCTGCTGAGATCCCTCCCTTCCCTTCTCGGGGGAAGGGTTCCCCCCCCTACAGTCAGCCCGTATCATGAGCGAGCGCGGTGAGGATGCAAGGGCCTTGGAGGCCTATGTTGACGTTTTTCGAGCGAGTTTGGCCAGCGAAAGTCGCTAAGGATGGGCCGAAGGGGCAAGTATGCAAGGGTACGCTTGGGAAGGTTGCCCATCCTTACTATGCGGGTGGACTGTACCCCCTACCCTGGGCCTGGAATGGGGGGGAGGGGGGCGATGTGTCAAAAGGTGCCTTCTGGTCCAATATAGCTTCAAGAGGGCCTCCGCGAGTCCAAGATGGTCTTCAAGGTGGGTCAAGATACCTCAAGATGGCTCAAGATAGCCTCCGACGCACATCCAAGAGGCCTCAAGATAGCCACGAGACGGTTTCCAGTGCCCGCCGAGTCCTCCGAGGACCCCCATCCAAGATGCCAAAATGACTCCGAAAGCGAAGGACACTCAATGATGCTTGCCTTCTCGCTGTTTCGCTTCCGATGGGCTTTTGAAGCCTCAAGACGGCCCCAAGACTGCCCAAGAGAGGCCCAAGAGGGCCCCCAAAGCGCCCAAGAGCGCTCTAAGAGCGGCCCAAGAGGGCCCCAAGACGCCATGCTTGAGCCATGGGGCCCAATACGCCTCCCAGACCCCTCCAATGAGCCTCTGGGAAGGCCCCAAGACTCCCAAAACGAGCCCTAAGAGGGCCCCGAGTGCCCCAAAAGACCCCACGGGGACCCGAAGATAGCCCCTAAGATGGCCTTCGTCGTCTCGTCGTCCTTCAAGACCCTGGTACAACAACATATCTCCAAAGCCCGACTACTCATCCTCCTTGTCATCGTCAGTCTCTCGCCCCCTCCTCCTTTCGTGCCTCCTCCTCGTCGTCGTCCTCGTGCCGCATTCCTCCTCCTCATCTTCTTCCCCCATCCTCCTCTCTCTTGTTCCTCCTCCTCTTCCTCATACCCCCAAGCCGGTCCCAGGAGTTCCAGCACGGCATAGCCTCCGACAGACCTCCAAGAGGCCTCAAGGCAGCCTCAAGGCGGCCCAAGAGAGCTGAGCGTGGCAAGATAGCATCCGACAGCCTCCAACCGAGCACTGCTCAAGACAGTCTGCAAGAGGCCTCAAGCACGCCTCCGACGGTGCCTGGATTGATGAACGAACAACACACGCCCATACCCATTGGAGGGTCGGAGAAAAGAGGACTGGCTATGGGTATGGGTGCGGGTTGTCGGACATTTGGGGAGGCTCCCGTTCTAACGGGGACCCCCATCCGATAGCTCGCGCCCATAGCCCCCTCCGTCCCCCCTATGGGTATGGGTGCGTGTTGTCCGTTCGTCATGGATGGGCTGGTGGGGATAGGCGAAGCGGCAACACATAGAGCCCTTGCCATCGCTCGGACGTCCATTCCCCGTGCATTTTGCGGTCTTGTGCGTGGCTTCTTGCTCGATGGACCAGGATGCTCCTCGATTGTCGTTTTGTGCTTGTTTTTGTTGCTTCGCAGCGCCAGTCCCCTGATCTCCGAGTCGGTCTCGTGCTGGGGCCTGCCCCAGGAGGCCCGCTCGCAGGTTCTAGGGGTATCGCGCCGTAGCATCGCTGGCGCGCGCGGGGTGTGCCGCAACGCTGATCGAGAGCTTATGCTGAGCATAAGCCGCGCTCACCTGAGTAGGGATCCCTCTCGCACAGGTGGTCCAGTCCAGTCCAGGATGCTCCTCGATTGATCGTCCTCGCCAGGAAAAAACGAAGCACACGTCCGAGCGATGCCACGAGCCTGGCAGGCGGTGGGAAAAGAGGAGGGCGGGCAGGGCGGGGCCGCGGATGGGGGGGAGCACACCGGAGGGGCGAAGGGCGAAGCCAGGCCGAGAAAAAAAAAGAACAGAGGTCGAGCAGGAGGAGGAGGAGGAGGAGGAGGAGGAGGAGGAGGAGAAGGAGGAGGAGAAGGAGAAGGAGGAGGAAGAGGAGGATGAGAGGAGGAGGAGGAGTTGGAGGAGGAGGAGAAGGAGGAGGAGGAGGAGGAGGGGAGGAGGAGGAGGAGAGGAGAGGAGGAGGAGGAGGAGGAGGAGGAGGTGGAGGAGGAGGAGGGGGAGGAGGAGAAGGAAAAGGAGGAGGGTTCCGAGGGTTCTAATGACGCGGCTGGTGACAAACAGGGGCGCACGGCCGAATTCTCGTCGCACGGGGAGCCCTGCGGCATGACACGGAGCCCCCTCTCTGGACCCCGGCTGCGTCGGGACGTGCGATGGGGCGCCCGAGGAGGAGCCCAAGGCAGAGAGCCACCAAGGGACCTCGGGGCCCCTGCCGAAACCAAAGTGGTCCTCGCTGCACGGCTTCGGCTGCACAGCCAGCGGGAGAGACCGCACACGGGGCCACAGCCCTGCGGTACCATACGCTGGCGCTGATCCTCTCCTAGAAAATCAGTGCCTGCTTCCGCTGATCCCCGCCGGGCCTCCACTAGCAGAGCCAGCCTCGCTGTGTTTCCGCAATCTTCCGCGGTATGTCCTCCAGCCTCTGCCTAAGGCGAGAGGTCAACGTCTCGATGCCTCGACGACTTAGCGCCTTTGATGAGCACCCCCAGTGGAGGCGGCGTAGAAGCAGCCCCCAGGGCGTCAACGCCGAAAGTCTGAGTCGGTATCCTGGCAAGGATGCCGAGAAGAGGCACCTGACGTCACTGGATGGATGGATAAAGGTACCGATACCACTGCTCTGAGCAGGATCTCGAGGCGAAGCCAGCGGTGGCGACGAGTGCCACCCAACAAAAACCCAAACAGGGACAACCAGGGAAGAGCAGACGCATAGGTACATTGTCCTCGCGCCGTGGAACGTCGGGCACTGCCAAGGGTGGTCACCTCCCGCTCCTGCTCCTCCTCCGACTGCTGCTCCACCACCTCCTCCTCCTCCTCCTCCTCCTCCTCCTCCTCCTCCTCCTCCTCCTCCTCCTCCTCCTCCTCCCCCTCCCCCTCCCCCTCCTGCTCCTCCTCCTCCTCCTCCTCCTCCTCCTCCTCCCCCCTCCTCCTCCTCCCTCCTCCTCCTCCTCCTCCTCCTCCCTCCTCCTCCCCCTCCTCCTCCTCCCTCCTCCTCCCTCCTCCTCCTCCCTCCTCCTCCTCTCCTCCTCCCTCCTCCTCCCTCCTCCTCCTCCTCCTCCTCCTCCTCCTCCTCCTCCTCCCTCCTCCTCCCTCCTCCCTCCTCCTCCTCCTCCTCCCTCCTCCTCCTCCTCCTCCTCCTCCTCCTCCTCTCCTCCTCCCTCCTCCTCCTCCTCCTCCTCCTCCTCCTCCTCCTCCTCCTCCTCCTCCTCCTCCTCCTCCTCCTCCTCTCCTCCTCCTCCTCCTCCTCCTCCTCCTCCTCCTCCTCCTCCTCCTCCCTCCTCCTCCTCCTCCTCCTCCTCCTCCTCCTCCACCTCTCCCTCCTCCCCCTCCTCCCCTGGGAGCACGGGGTCTAATTTTGTCCATGCGCACGCCGCCGGCACCGGCTCGGCATCTGCTGCGGCTGCCCCACGCCTCAGCGCCGCCCGCCGCTCTCTAGAGGCCACCCGCCGCGAGGGCCCGCTGCGCGTAGTACTGCACGTCTATGTCGGAGTCGTGCTCGAGCTCGAGGAGCGCGGGCTTGATCACCGTGTTGAGGGCGACCGGTCCGAGGTTGTGATTCCGGCGGCACGCCGGAGTGACCCCAAGGCCCTGTATCGGCGGTGGACACACCTCCCTTTCGTAAACCTCCTCTCAGCGAACACGGCCCAGGACCGAACACCGACGGGCCTGGAGCCGCAAAAAGGACGGCCGCGACGCCCTCTCGCGAGCCGAAAACGGCCACTTCACTAATCGACGCGTCACGGTAGGGAGTCTATCAACCTCCGATCCTCCTTCCCCTCCTCCTCCTCCTCCTGCACCTGGCCCCTGGTCCCCTCCTCCTCCTCCTCCTCCTCCTGAACCTGGCCCCTGGCCTCTCACGAGCCGAAAACGGCCAATCCCCTCATCGACGTGTCAGGGCAGGAGGACGATCAACCTTCGACTGTAGGCAAGAGAGTGCCCTTTTTGGGGCGCGGCTTGCCTATCATGACGTGCGGTCCGGCAGCAGCGTCAGGTCGGACCTGTCCCCCTAAAACAGGCGGACATTGGACGAAAGATAAAAATAGTCAAACAATGATCAAAAATGGTCAACAAATATTAAAAAAAAAACCGTCCCCCGGCTATTTCTTGACTATGATTGAATACTCCTCCTGCAGAGGGACAGGCCCGACTTCACAGTAGCAGCCTGCGTGCTTGGAACGCCCCGACGCAGCAGTACCAGCAGCAATAGTAGCAGGCCCGACGTAACAACAATAGCTAGCTTCAGCGCCCCGAGCCCCCGGAAGGCCGCGCACCAGAGGCCACCTCGGCGAGGGGCCGCTCCGGCGTGCAGCCGGTGATTCTCGAGCATCCACATGATGTCCCGGCAGGCGCAGAAGCGGACATTGGGGACGTTGTCCTCTCGGGGCCGGCCCAGAGGGGGGCGTCCAAGCGGGGGTGGCGCAAATCATGGCCGGCGGCACGTGCGCGGCCCAGGGCGGGAGCCAGGGACGTCATGGAATGAGAAGAGGCGCCATGAAAGCTGAAGAAATATCATGGCCCGCGCCATGATATCCACCCCCCCTAGTCATCACCACCCTCTTTGCCGCTCCCGATCCTTGGTGGCTTTGATCAACACAGGGACGATGAACTGCATGATCTGCTCTGGGGTCATCACGCCAGACACCTGCGGCAGCACGTGGAGCGTGGTGACGCGATTCGCGTAGCCTGCGCTCTGAGAGTACTGCTCCACCAGCTTGGGCAACAAATGTTCCACAGTCCACTGTGATCCGAATGTGTCGGCAATACCTTTGAGGTGCTGCACTGCGGCCTCACGCACTGAGTGGACTGAGTCGCGAAGACTTGACAAGTACAAGGTTTCGAGCTTCGCCTGGAACACTTCAACGCCGAATAGCTTCGTGAGTGTTGGGACCTGCTCGACGACTCTCTGGCGGATGCGCCAATGATTGTCCACCATGAGGTTCTGGATGGTGGTGAGCAGTGACGGTGGAGTCCCGTCCACACTCAAAACCTCGCACAAAAGTCCTGGGGAAACCAAAAACTACTGATACCGCTACTCCCCGGACCTCGCCCGAGGTGCGTTCTGTCTAGAGTTTCGAGGCGAATCCAGCCGTGGCGACGAGGGCCTCCCAGGAGGTCTGAATAAGAGAAGACGACGCAAGGCCAGCGGCATCTGTACCTGTTGCTTCTTTGCAGTCCGGCGTGCGAGGCGATGTTGAGGCGTACGTCGTGGAACTCGTCCTTCATGAGATCGCCAATGAGGCTGAGGAGCTGCCGCTGAGTGACGTCGCGCCCGAGCGCCTTGGCGACGGGGCCGAGCACCTGGGCGAGCGCTGCGCGAACGGGCTGCGCGGAATCGATGCCCAGCGACTGGAACTGCGGCAGGACGTGCTGCTGCAGCTGGTCGCTGGTGAGGGGGCGCGGCAGCTGCAAGCACTGCTCAACGACGCGGACGGCTTCCTTGCGCACCTCCTGCTCGTTGTCCTTCATGAGCTGGATGAGCGGACCCATGAGGTGGGCGGTCGTGATCTCTGGTCCGAGTGCCGAGATCAACTGGTCGAAGTTCTTTGCGACTGTCAGACGAACGCGCCACGAGCGGTCCTCCGCGGCATCCTCGATGACGGAGATCGTGTGCGTCTTGTTCTCCTCCGGGCTGCACTTCTGGGCGATCACCAGGGTGGCGTGGACGCACGAGACCCGGATCGTGTCCTGAGTGTCCTCTTGGGAGAGCTGCTTGTAGATGCTGATCATGTCGCTGAGGATCGCCTGCCGATCAAAACTTTAGCTCCCGGCTCGAAGCTTTTTCCCCCCTCGAAAAGATCGGGGTCGTGGCTTTCGCCCCCCTCGCCCCCTCAAAATGAGAATCGCCTGCGGATCAAAACTCTGGCTCCCAGCTCGAAGCTTTTCCCCCCCCCTCGAGAAAATCGGGGTCGTGGCTTTCGCCCCCCTCTTATGTTGCATCCTCGGGGGACCTTGTCTGTCCCGTCGCGGCCCTGTCCGCGTCGAATCCGTGTCGAATCCATGTCGGACGCGTCGGATCCGTGTCGAATCCGTGTCGAATCCGCGTCGAGTCCGCGCCAAATCCGCGCCGAGTCCGCATCGAGCACGCGTCGGGCCCCCCAAAAGACACGAATTTTTTGGACAGGCGAGGTCCCCCGAAGATGCAACAGAACCCCTCGCCCCTTCAAAAACTGTTTTTTGTTTTCCTCCTTGAACCCCTAAACCCCTAAATCCCATGAACCCCTAAACCCCTAAACCCCTGAACCCCTAACCCCCCAAACCCCTAAACCCTCAAACCCCCAAACCCCCAAACCCCTAAACCCCTAAACCTCTAAACCCCTAAACCCTTAAATCTCGGAGCCTCTGCTTCCCCTCGGGAGGGGAGCTATAGGGAGGGAGAGCCGGAGGCGCTCCAGCGCGGTCCGGGCCAACTGGGGCTCCCAAAAGAGAAGTCCGAAGAGGAAGCCCGGTGGATCCGCTTCGGGGGCACACTGTGCTGCCAGGGCTGCTGCAAAGAAGCCCACTCCGAGAGCGTCAGCACGCGACAACTGAACGAGAATCGAGAGTCTGCGAACATCGACGGCAAATCAAAAATAACCCACCGTCGACGAACATCGGCGAGCAATTACCCAACATCGAATGCCGACGAACATCGAACATCGGCCAAATTCGAAAGAACTGCAACGACTAATCGATGCACACATCCGCGAACACATAACGGCGACGAGCATGCACCATCAAATACGAATATCATACGTCGGCAAGAACCAGCGCCAAATCAGGGGAAATGCAATGTCGACTGGGATATACAACAAATCAACGAACGTCCGATATGTTATATTCTTACATGCGCATATCCATGACGATTGATGTATACACAGAGACATACACATATTTTCAGATGTGCATACGTACATGCGTCGGTATATACGTATGTATTTGGGTATATGAGTATAAATATATATATGTATACACATATATATATGTATGCGTATGTAATTTTAGTACGCGTGCACGGGGATCCAAAACACAGGCATCACACATTAAAAAAACGTCTGCGACCGGAAACAGGAATCTAACGGACATCGAATTCCTACGACAATCCGATGACATAAGCTAACGTCGAACGACATGGACAACTGAACGTCGACGGGAACCGAATCAAAAGCGGAGAAGTATGCTATCAACGATAATCTGAAACTAATCACATAATATCGGCAGGCATCCACAGACGAAAAGAAATCGACCATTACAGAAAAGCAACGAAAACAATCAACACACCTAACACACAGATGAATATCAACGGCAGTGAACGAACATCGAACGCCGACGAACATCAGCGAAACACATTTATATAACATACAAACATCACAAATCGACGAATAGCGATCGAGAAGCAACGCAATTGGAATGCGGACGAAGATCTACTAACATATCTACAAACGTTAAATTTCGACGGCTAGCGGAGAACAGACTACGAACATTAAGCACCCCTCAAGTACATCGTGCTCCATGGACCCACTGGAGGCCCCGAATTAACCTGTCAAGACGACCCAATAAGGCTTAATTTCGACACACCCACCTCGCACTCGGTGGCCAATGAAATCCCAGAGGCCCTCCGCTGGCCCCCAAGAAGACTGGCTAGATCCGCATTTCGACACACGCCTCACGTACGTCGTGTTCCATGGACCCCCAGGGATCATCAGCCGCCACGTGACTCAAGGGAGCGGCACTCATCCCTCGCGCACTTCGCGGCCCATGGATCTCAGGGGCCCTCAGCCGGCCCTCGAGACGGCCGCATGGACCCGAACCTCTGCACACCCATCACGCACTTCGTGCCTCATGGACGCGGGGCTTTCAGATGACCCGTTAGGACAGCTCAAATCAATCGAAGTTCGGCACACACACACACACACACACACACGCACGCCCTCTCTCTCACACGCACGCACACACACACACACACGCGCGAGCGCACCTACACATACACAAATACGCACTTGCACACGCACGCACACACGGACACACACACACACAATCACGCACGCACGCACGCACGCACGCACGCACGCACGCACACACACACACACAAACTCACACTCACACTCACACGCACGCACCCACGAACGAAGGCACGCAAGCACACATGCACTCCCCCCCACCCACAGACACGCACACACAGACACACACACACAAAACTTACGCATGTCGTGCCCCACACGGACTTCTGGAGGGTCTGAGCTGGCCCCCGTAGCGAATTTTGGGGGCTTCGCTTCAGCTCACCCCTTACGCATACACACAAAGACACACACACACACACACACACACACGCGCACAGCTCTTGCTTGTGGTGTCCCGAAATCGTCCACAAGCCATGACGGCTGAACGGTTCCTCATTTCGGAACACCGATCAAATACTTCGTGCCCCATGTAGCCCAGGAGGCTGTCAGCCGGCCCCGCAAAGTGGCTCAAAGGAGCCGCATCTCGGAACCTCCGCGCACTTCGAGGCCCATGCACTCCCAGAGGCCCTGAATTGACTCTCGAGACGGCTGCATGGATCCTGAACTCGGAGCACCTCTCACGAACTGCGTGCCCAGTGGACCCCCAGGCGAGTCAGGTCTTATGGTCTTGGCACATGACGGCCTTTTGGTCTTTGGGCATGGGGTCGTTCGGGTCATAGGGTCTCATGGTATTCGGGCGTGTGTCTCATAGTCTGATGGTGAGTCTCAGAGCCTCATGGTATTCGGGTGTTGGGGTCCTAAGTCTTATGGTGTCAGGGCCTTCGGCTGTAGGGGTCTCAGGGTCTGATTGTTTCATGGTCTTAAGGTCTTCCTGGCCTGAGGGGCGTAGCGTCCTAGGGCGCTACGGCCTTAAGGTTTCATTGCATTATGATCTTCGGGTCGTAAGGCAGTAGGGTCTTTGGGCGCCAAGGACTTAGCGTGTTAGGGGCCTTCGGCCACGTGTTAGGGTCTTAAGGTCTTGGAGTGTTAGGGTCTTTGGGTCTTCTGATTTTGACGGATTCAGGTATTAGGGCCGTATGGCCTTAGGGCGTTAGGGTCGTCGGGTATCGCAGCATTTCGCTGTCTGGATATTCGAGCGGTAGGATCTGAGGGTGTTAGGGCATGAAGGGCATTTGGGTCTTGGGGTCTACGATGATTTAGGCCTGCGGGACGGTGGTATGATAGTTTAAGGGTGCTCATGTCGTAGGTTATGTGGGTGGTGTGGTATTGCGATCGCAGAGCCTTAGGGTGTAATGGTATTGGGGCGCCTCATATTTCGGGTGTTAGACCATTGGGGCATCATGGTCTTCGGGTACCCAGGCCATATGGCATTACGGCGTTAGGGTCTTCGGGTGGTGAGGACTGGGCTCAGGGTCTTCTGGTCCTAACGTCGTAGGGCCTTAGCTCGTTCGTGTCTTAGAGTATTACTTAGGCGTAACGAAAATTTCCTCGGAAACGCGGGAGACCTCCAGACGACACAGACAGGATGCCTAGGCGGCCCCATGGCCCCAAGATGGCTCCACGACGGCCACAGACGGGCACGAAGATGACCTCGGGCTGACCCAAGAAGACCCCGTGGCCCCTGCAAGATTAAGACGCAGCGTCGAAATGGCCTGGGGGCGAATCCAAGATGGCCCAAGATGTGAGCGATGCCCTCGAGACCAGGTGCGGTGGCCCTCGAGCGACCCCGAGGTGGCCGGAGCATTCCGAAAGTGCAACACCATGATCTTAAGATGATCTGGGGATGATTTCAAGACGACTTCAAGATGGCCCGAACGCGTCATACATTGGCGGGATTGGGTCCCACCGCGGGATTTATCCGGACCCCATTTTGTATGGGTGGGGTTTATGGTTGGCCGGACTAAAACTATATTATGAAAAGGGTGAACTTCTCGCCAAGGATCCCGCCGAGACCACGCACGGGGGCTATCTTGCTAGGCTTCTAGGGGGAGAGGGGGGTTCAACGCATCCTGCCCGTCAACCCCATCGGAGGCCGTTGCCAAAAGAGCTGCGAAGTAGGTGGGCACACAAAGCCATCGGGCCCAATTCAGAAATTTCAAGGAACTTTCGGAGCGGCGATGTATGTCCACGGTGTAAGCTGGTCTCAGGGCGAAGCTGTTTTCGTGTACTAGCGTATGTTGGCCTTTTAATTTGAGGGCCTCCGGGTATGAGGGAATTCGCGCGTGATGGCTTCAGGGTACTAGGCTATGCGGGTCTTAAGGCGTCAGGGTCTTGGGGCATCAGGGCCCTATGGACTTAGACATTGGGGCGTCATGGTGGTAGGGCATGAGAATATGTGGTCTGCGGGCCTTCGGTTCTTTGGGTCCTAGGGTATCAGGGTCCGAGAACATTATGGCTTTCGGTGGTAGGGTGGCAGGGTCTCAGCGCTAAAGGGGCACTGTGGCAGCAGGGTCAGATTGCACTGGGGCGGATCCAGGGCAGCAGGCTCCGAGGCCACTCGGGCCGCAGTGGCATGCCCTTGGGATGTTCGGGTAGCAAGGCGTCCGAGGGAGAAGCGAATGCCTCGGGAGGGGCAGAGAGGTGCCTTCCTGACGGGTGAAGACACCCAGCCCACGGACCTGTACAGTCGGGGCCTTGACCTAAGGAACCCTAAATAAGGAACGAGGCCCCTATTTTCCACAAGTGAAACTTCGATTTCCCGTACAAAAAGCTGAGGAAAACCCGAGGCAAATTGTGAAACAATCAAGGAACACCGAGCCCCTCCCCAACGAAAAGGGTTCCTTCTTCAGCGCCCCGACTGTAGTACAGCCTTTGAGCCAGAGCTGGCCTGGACAGGTCCACGGCTTCGTTGCCCTCCCCTTCTTGAGGGAATCCCGAGCAGGGCTTCCCCCCTCCGTTCCGCCCTGCCCAAGGGTTCTGCCAGTGAGCGTCCGTCCGTGCGCCCACCTGCGACTGTGGCTAGATGTCCCACCTCCGTCTGATGGGGGGGGGGAGGCACGAGGGGGACAGCAAAAACGCCTCGGGGGGGGGGTTGCAGCAAACGGACGAGCAGATCTCTCGGGGAGGGAAAAGAAGCCTGGGCTCCCGCTCGGCTCTGGGACGGGGTGGGGGGGGACGGACTCGCAGGACCGAGAACAACCGAAAAGCCTCCCCGGACCCCCCCGCCGACCCCCCGAAGGGGAACAGGCAAACGCATCGCTGATGCATCGGCGATGCATGGGCGACGCCGGCGAAAAGAAAATCAGGCTCCGCATCGAGCCGCACCGTCGATGCGTCGGCGCTGCGGCGCGATCCTCCGAACCCATCTACTCCGACCACATCGATGAGGCCTAAAGGAACACATATACAGTACAAAAATAAGGACCGGCCTGCTTCTCGCACACGGACATGAGGTCGTGCATCCTTCGGGCGGGTGGTAATGGGGGGTGATCCAGGTGGGGGGTTGAGACAAGGGCCCCAAAGGGGCCCTTTAGGGCTCCTTTTGGACCCAGTTGGTGCCCGAAAGAGGCTCTAAAGGGCCTCTTCAGGATGGTTTTTTTCCCCCCCGTGTGGATCACCCCAAATTTCCCACCGGTCGGAAAAAGAAGGTATACACATGTAGGAAGGCGCTGAACATAGATCAAGCTCTGCCAGCCCCCTTAGGACAACGGAAAAGGTGAAGCTACTCGATCATTGAAGTAGGATGGCGCTTGAATCGGCAGTGGACAAACCTCCCTTTAGTAAAAATCCCCTCAGTGAAAAAGGTCCTTGACCGAAGCCGACGGACCTGGACCCGCAAAAACGACGGCCGCGACGCCCTCTCGCGGACCGAAAACGGCCAATCTGCTAATCGACGTGTCAGGGTAGGAGGTCTATCAACCTCCGACTACTTTCATCGGGCCCGGCGAACGGGGGGGGGGGGAAAAGCAAAGGGGGGGGTTGAGAATCAGCTCGCGTAGCTGACTTTCCCGGCGCCTCCTGGCGCCCAGAGGCGCCCATGCCTCGAGGAATAGGCCCGGCGGCGGGGCCGAAACGCTCTCCCCCATCCCCCCCTTTCTTGAGCAGGGACCGACCGTCCCAGCATTCCTATAGTCATACCATGAAATGTTCTTAGAACCCCAAAATGTTCTAAGAACAAGAACAATGCCCTTAAAACAGAAGCCCGATGTGAAAACAAAACAAGACAGGCTCCGCCGGACATGTTCTAAGAACACGTCGCGGGAACCACAAAAAAGGTTCTTAGAACATTGCTTGGTGGGGGTATAGGCGAGCCGGGGCGCTTCGCCACTGCTTGACTTTCGTTCGGCCCGCTCTCAACGACCGACGGAGGAGGAGGAGGAGGAGGAGGAGGAGGAGGAGGAGGAGGAGGAGGAGGAGGAGGGGGAGGGAAGGAGGAGGATGAAGGAGGGGAGAAGGAGGAGGAGGAGGAGAAGCAGGGAGAGGAGGATGTGGAGGAGGAGAGGAGGAGGAGAGGAGGAGGAGGAGGAGGAAGGAGGAGGAGGAGGAGGGAGGAGGAGGGAGGAGGGGAGGGAGAAGGAGGGGGAGGGGGAGGAGGAGGAGGAGGGGAGGAGGAGGAGGAGAGGAAGGAGGAGGAGGAGGAGGAGGAGGGCGGAGGAAGAGGAGAGGAGAAAGAGGAGGAGGAGAAGCAGGCGGAGGGGATGTGAAGGAGGAGAGGAGGAGGAGGAGGAGGAGAGGAGGCTCCTGTGGCCGCGGCGCGCCGCCCATCGGCGTGTCGTCCAGGCAGAGGCTGCCGTACGCCTCCGGAGGCCGGCCCTTGTGAGCGGCGCGGCGATCGTGGGGGGGGGGGGGCTTGAGCCCAGGGGGGAGGAAACTTCGAGGCTCCTCCTCCCCATCCTCCTCCTCCTCCTCCTCCTCCTCCTCCTCCTCCTCCTCCCCCTCCCTCCTCCACGACGAAGGAGCGACTGGGCGTCGATGCCCCGACCACTAGCACAGGCAGGGGAGGGGGAGGAGGAGGAAGAGGGGGACGAGGAGGAGGAGGGGGAGGGGGAGAAGGAGGAGGGGGAGGAGGAGGAGGAGGAGGAGGAGGAGGAGGAGGAGGAGGAGGAGGAGGAGGAAAAGGAGGAGGAGGAGGACGAGGAGGACGAGGAGGAGGAGAAAGTGGAGGAGGAGAAAGTGGAGGAGGAGGAGGAGGAGGAGAAGCCTCGGAATTCCGTCCCCTCTGAGCCTATCCCGCCCTCTCCCATCGTTGCCCCCGAGCACCTCTGGTCCTCGTTGGCGTGCTTGTAGGCGGTCGACAGGAGCGCGCAGGCGGACACGCGCGCCGTGAAGAAGTCGATCTTCGTGGCCAGCCGGTGCACCGCGGGCACCAGGTGCTCCGGCACGAGCTGGGGGCGCTTCGCGATGATCTGGCAGATCGACTGGATGGCCTGTTCCAGGGGGCGGCCAAGATGGGGGCGTCCAAGAGGGGGGGGGGATGCGCCAATCGCGGCTGGCGGCACGTGCGCGGCCTTGAGGGGGGGGGGGGCGGGGACGTATTGGAACAAGAAGAGGCGCCATGAGATCTGGGGAGATATCATGGCCGACCCCATGACATCCACCTCCCCCTGGTCATCATCCCCTCTTGACCGCCCCCGACTGTTCCAGGGCTCGAGCTAAACAGTGCGTTCAGTTTTCGTTGTGGCTTCGATTTCCCTCGCTCCGTCTCTTCGTGCCGCCCTTCCTGCAAAACGAGATTAGAACAGGAACGGTGCACCTACGTCCCTGCATATATTCAGAGTCTTATGGGCTAAGGACGAGGACACCACCCCAATCGTTTTCTTGAAAGGTAGTCCAGGTCCAGATGCACGACACAGTTCTACGCGAAAAAGGAGCTCCAAGAAAGCGCCCAGGGTCCGGTCCAGATTCTTGCTTGTCTTCTAAACGGATCTGGAGTCCATGAAAACTGACGCCTTGCCATCGAGATCCCCGACGGTTGTGTCAACGGGCGCGCTCCGCGATTCTCTCGAGGAGGCGAACACTGCAGAAGCCTCAACACTCGGAACTCCGCGCGGCGTCTCTCGGGCCAGCGCTGGCCCCCCCCCCCCCGTGGAGGCGCCTCCTGCGCCGCCCCTGGCGCGCTCCGCGCGGCAGGGAGGGGGGCCCGCCGGTGCGAGAGACGCCGCGCGGAGCTCCGAAGGTCTGAGGGTCTGTGCTCGTGCAGCCGTGTCTTCGAGCTGATCTGGCAGATCTCCGGCGTTGGTAGAACTGGGTTTAGTGGAACCTGGTTTAGTGATCTGTACCGGGGGGTCCCGGGGGGTCCCCCCGTCCCATTTCCACTAACCGGAACTGCCGTCACCCGAAAAAACACTTGCTACGGCAGACTTGGTTTAGTGATTCTGGTCAATTTAGAGGCTCTGGGGCCCTACTACTAACCGCGTCCCCTTACCTGGGGTCCTGGCTATACCCGAATATCGACTGGACGGCCTGTTCCCGGATGACCGTCTCGTCCTGTGCCGCGAGGTGCTCGAGGGGTGCGATGAGGAGGTCCTCGTGGCCGGTGACGTAGTCGGAGAGCACCGAGTACTGTTTGGCCATGCTGTAGAGGAACTCCTCGTCGTTGCAGAGGGGCTCCTCTTTGACCACCTGCGTCATGTAAGGTATCAACTCATTGATCGTCCTCTGGGGCCCGAGAGCGGAAGCGACTAAGTGCAGCCGATTTGCGGCACCGATTTTGATCACAGCACTCTCATTGCTTATCTCTTCCTTGAAGAACTCTAGAAAATTGAAGTCCGCCTGTGCGGCCATTGCATGCCGAAGGGCGGCAAACAGCACAGTTGGATCAACAATTTGCAGTCGGAGACGGCTTGAGCTGCACCGTCTGCTTGAGCCAAGTTTGCGGGAACAGCACGCGACAACAATCACATCGAGGACACACCCTGGGGGTGGCCTTGTGCATGCCAACAATCGTCAGAACACCGAAACTAGCCAGCTCAGTACTGGTGTTGGTCGATGTGACGTCCCAGGACGGCCAAATCGGCCACAACCACAACCAGCGCGCTCATGTCGAGCTCGGTGGTTCTCCCCCTGGAGACACTCCAGAAAACAAATCGTTCAGTTGTGATTGTGGTTCTATGCTGTGCCCCGAGAACTCGAGAGGGGGGGAATACTGAGGGGCAGTCCCTGGGAGGTCTTCGTGGGAACGGCTGGGGACTACTAAGCCCGACGACGGGATGCTGACAGAGCTGGATCTTGCCATACTTTACCAGCCTCGAACGTATCCCTATCCCTAAGATTGACACGCCCAGAGCCGCTGACAATCTTAGGGGTTCGCCCTCAAAAAATGAGGGAATCCCTAAGATTGGCATCGTGATGGGGAGGTGCCCAGCATAGGGATAGGGATATGTTCCAGGCTGGTGAATACTCCACTAAAATATTCAGCCAGATCCAGCCTGATCGGGATCAGGCTGGACTTCGACCAAGGATGTAGTAGAGCCGATGCAGAATCCCCCTCGTTGGAAGCGGCCAGGGGGGTCTGGGGCTGCACGGGCCCCGAGAAAATCGGCCCACAGGGAGGGGGAGAAAGCGAATCCCTTGAAAATCGGTCCCCAAACCCCTCCCGGGGTCGAGACTGCCGTGTTTTCTTTCGAGCCGCGCCCCTCCGTGGCGACGAGCAGGGCCCCCATCCCTCCTTTCAGCTGGCAAAGGGTGCTGGGGGCACGAATGTACATCGTAGGCGAGAGAGGGTGAAGGTCAAGGAGGAGGAAAGGAATGGGGCGAAATGGGTGATATCCAAGAAATGAGTGGTGAATGTGAGTTTTATCAGGGCAAATGCTGGGCCGCCTCATCCCCCCTACCCGGCTCCACACCCCTCGCCTTGTCGCCACGCTTCCTGCCCTCGTCTCCACGGGCGGTGCAGCCCCCCCTGCCCGCCAGAGCCCCCCAGAGGCGGCGGGACCCGACAGAGCCCCGACCCCCCGACCTCGGAGCACCCGCGGGCACGACTTCCCTGACCTTCCAGGAGGGCTAAAAAATAGCACCAGGACGTCAACCTCCTAATTCCTGTCGAGGTTTGAGACACTCCAGATAGATCTATAGGTCTGGAGTGCTATTTTTTAGCACTCTGGAAGGTCAGGGTTACAGTCGGACTTGATTGGAGAGGACACACGAAAGGACACAAGACCCTTCCGAGAGCCACGCTGCCACAGAACTGCAGGAGGCATGGGTCGCAAGACACAGGACACGAGGGTGCCCTCGATTTGGTAGGGTCGACCTACTAATCTGGGCCGCCTGTAGGCGAAAGACAAAAACCGAGGAGGTGGGTGCAGCCAGGCCACCCCATGCCGGCACGAGTGCTGTCCGCCGAGGAGGCACGGGAGGGAGGGAGAGGAGGAGAGGCGAGAGAACCGGGAAAAGAGAGGCTGGAGGCAGGGAGGCGCACGAGAGTGGTGGAATCGAGTTGTGGATGCCATGACAATGGACACTCTGGCAACCCGTATTATTGAATCAAAAGGTGTGAGACATGTTCTAAAAGTGTTTCAAACATGTTTAAACCATGTTTGAAACATGTGTTAGACATCTGGAAATTATTTGGCAGCATGCTTCCTCTCCATTAATCGACTTCCACAAGAATAGAGGCCTCCTAAACGGGATCGGAGTAGATGTGGTCGGAGGGTCGCACCGCATCGCCAATGCATCGCCGATGCATCGGCGACGCTGGCAATGCATCAGCGACGTCGGCGTGAAGCAGATCGGGCTCCGCATCGAGCCGCATCGTCGATGCATCGGCGATGCGGCGCGATCCTCCGACCCCACCTACTCCGACTCCATCTGGGAGGCCTGGATGGAAGGCGCAGAAATCGGGCAGGCGGAAGAGAGGAGGAGGGGGACGGAGGAGCAGTGGCAGAGGAAGGACGGCGGACAGGCGAAGAGACGCCGGCGGAGGGAGCCATGGCCAGCGCCCCATGGCGAGGCAGCGCGACCCCAGCACGAACGAGCCGGCCAGCTCCAACTTTCGGCAGTGGACAAACATACCTTTAGTAAACCTCCCTTTAGTGAAAACGGCCTGGGACCAAAACCGACAGACCTGGACCCGCAAAAAGGACGGCCGCGACGCCCTCCCGCGAACCGAAAACGGCCGATTCACTAATCGACGCGTCAAGAATCTTGGCCGCCGTGGGGACGCTGTCCACGCGGAAGACCATGGTCGTCCGGAGCTGCCGCAGCTGCTTGCTCGTGGACGGTGCCCTCCCGTGCAGCTCTGGGTGCATGGCGCCGTGGCCGCCGATCACCGTGCCAAGAGCTGGACACGCGTCTGGAAGGCCTGCACCGCTGGCGCCTCGCAGTGGCGAGAGGTGAGGCATCTGCCCGCGCAGGCGATAATGATCTCTGGCTTCCCTGGGTCCGAGGAGGAGGAGATGGTGGAGGTGGAGATGGGAGGAGGGGGAGGAGGAGGAGGAGGAGGAGGAGGAGGAGGAGGAGGAGGAGGAGGAGGAGGAGGAGGAGGACAGATTGAGCAGCTGGCCGCACTCCGCGAACGCGCCGAGGACCACCCCCCCGCGTCGACGGCCGCCCGCCCGGTGTAGAGGAGGCCCCGTCGCCGGCGAGAACAAGATGCCGCGGGTCGGGTGGTCGAGCACGGCGTCGTCGACGCCGAGCTGGTCCGCCGGGGGGCGCCGAAGTGCGCTCCTGCTGCCAGGACCCCGAGGCAAAGGCATCTCCAGCCTCGCCTCGATTGGTGGGCCTGTTTCCCACCACCACCACCACCACCACCACCACCACCACCACCACCACCACCACCACCACCACCACCACCATCACCACAAGATCGAGGGGGAGGGCGCTCCTCCTCCTCCTCCCCCTCCTCCCTCCCTCCTCCTCCCCTCCTCCTCCTGCACCTCCTCCTGCACCTCCTCCTGCAGCTCCTCCTCCACCTCCTCCTCCTCCTCGTCCCCCTCCTCGTCCCCCTCCTCCTCGCCCTCCTCCTCCTTCCCCCTCCAAACTTATGAAACTTATGGTGGTGGCAGTGGAAGCAGGCCCATCATCGCTGTCCTGCTTCTCGCCTCCCCCCCCCCCACCGACGCCTCGCAGACCTCTGGTCTGCGAGCGGCCGGCCCGGGAGATCGACGGCTTTTGGTTTCTGGGCGCGCGGCGTGGAGCCCGAGCGTCCGAGCCCTCGCGACGCGCCACCCCCGATGCACACAGCGCCTGCCGACCGAGGCAGGGAGGGTCTGCACTCGGGGGCGGCCAAGAGGGGGGCGTCCAAGAGGCTGCTGCTGCTGATGCTGATGATGATGCTGCTGCTGCTGATGATGATGGGCAGGACGAGGGGAAGCACGAATTGATTGCACTGACCAGCCGAGACTTTTGGGGGGGAGGTCCCGGGCAGTATCAGACCTCCTGTGGAAGTAGACATCCTCGTGCTCGCGTCGCGAACAACATCACGACAGACAATTTCTTCGGGGGCGGCCAAGAGGGGGGCGTCCAAGAGGGGGGGGCGCAAATCGTGGCCAGCGGCGTGTGCGCGGACCAGGGGGGGGCCAGGGACGTAATGAATCAGGAAGGGGCGCTATGAAATCTGAGGAGATATCATGGCCCACGCCATGGTATCCCCCCCCCCGTCATCACCCCCCTCTTTGCCGCCCCCGATATACCCCATCCTGGGACCTGGGATGGAACTGGCCAAGCATGGTTCAAGAGGCCCAGGAGGACACAACCAAATCTTCACAAGGTCGATGATTCTTCAGATTCGACGATGCTTCCCGGATGTTTTTCCTCCCCTCCGTTTTCCCATCGTTTCCCATACTTCTCCTGGCATCCTGACTCTTGAACAGTTTTCAATGTGCGCAATACTTGGTATATGATCACTGGTTTTCATGATTCCACAAATGTCCAAAGATCTCCTTCCTGAATGGTGCTGGCGTGTGCTGGTGCGCGCCCGTTCCCCCGCAAGAACTCGCGGGCGGGGCCTGGAGAACGCGAAGTTCTGCCCGTCCGGCAGCCCGATGCGATGCAGGGTGGACGCGTCCACCTGCAGGCATCCACAACCCCATTATCACCATCATCACCATCACCATCATCACCACCATCATCATCATCACTGCATCACAACATCACCAGCCGAAACATCGCAATCATTTTTACATCACCAACGTCACATTCCTCTTCATCAACACCAACATCATCATCATCATCATCAGCATCATCATCATCACTAGCATCATCACCACTACCACCACCATCATCAACATCAGCCCCAGCATCATCATCATCATCATCATCGTCATGATCATCACCCTTTTCCTCATCATCATCACCATCATCACCATCACGGTCCCCCCAAACCTGGGGGCACGAGGCGTCGGATGTGACGGCCTCCCGTGCCCCGTCGAGCAGTCGTCACCAGGAATAATGAGCTGGCGCGGCGGCGGAAGTTGCCGCAAACCGCTGGGTAACGACCTGAACGAAAATCAACAACGGGCCTCACGCGTCGGCTTGCGCGGGCCGCCAACGCTGTGCGCTTACGCGCGACATTGCGCGGGCAACTGACGCGCGGATGTCGGCGAAGACGACACAATTGTTCTGCGACGCTCACCTGCTGATGCAACACACCAGCGGGGCATGATGACATCATCCTGACATGAACCCAATTTTAAAAAAGGGCCCAGGGACACACAAAGACAGAAGTAGAGAGTACCCCCAAAATTCCCAATCGTTTCCCATATGTTCTGGGTTGTCGTTCGCCCCCTTCCACTGTCCGTAATTTCCCGCGTTTTTTTTTTGGCGTTGGCGATCCATTGTCTGCGTGTCCTTCCCTTTCCAACATCTGGCGGGCTCTGGGGGCCCTGCACCCACAAGTGTTCCCACCTCTCGGGGGCGCATATTTCGGGCGCTGGCATAACTGGGTTTAGTGGGACTTGGCTTAGCGATGTGTATTGGGAGTTGGATTCCAACGTGGGTCTTTTACTATAGAAAGATCATGAAACAAACGTCGAAACACATATTATGCCTATCTGTGCATATGTGGTCTGGCAAATCGGGGCGGCATCACCGCGACGCCAAGGGCCGTCGTGGACTCGAACCCTTGGGCCTGGAAGTAGGCGCACGATTACCCACATCATGAAGTTCTGCAACTGGTCACTGTGTTCTGGGGGGTGCACGGACACGCAGAGAACTGTTCAGCTAATCGTTAGCTGGCGCCCGCCTCGAACTCATGCCTCATCCCCCGCCTCCTCCCAATATCCCGTCGCTGTGGCCCCACCCTCTTCATGCCCCTCCGAATACACCCAGTCCTCACCGTGCCCCTCATCCACATTGTCACCCATCCCTGTGCCAAGTCATGTCGTTCCTCGTCGTCCTCTTCCGCCGGATGAGTTCCCCCATCGTCCACATGCCTGCCCTCCACCCATCCTTAAAGCCCTAATGCAGATCATGCCCCCTCCTTTTGCCTACCCCACGCCTACCTCGTCCTCGTGATGCTGACACCGATGATGCAGCTCCTCCTGGGCCCATGTCCTCCCCTCTCATCCAGTCCCGTCCTCCCCTGGCCACGTGGCCACCCCTCCTATCGAACCCCATTTCTTCACACAGCCCACCATCCCTACCCCCCCGCGCCTTGCACTCTCAGACCACGGCCCCCTCCTGGACCAGCCGGGAGACCCGCGGAAACTCCCGCCCAGTGACCACTCCAGCGAGCAGCGCGCAACAGATGCACAGTTGGAGACACGAACTGTGTATTTCGACCGCGCACGCCGCCCCCCCTGGACCAGCCGAAAGAGAGAGAGGTGAAAGTCCCCGCCCAACCAACACCAGCCGCGAGGGGCACGCTCCAAATACACAGATGTGAACGAGATCCGTGTACACAAATCACACCACGATCTGTGTAAACAGTGGGCCCACACACGGAAATACACAGTTGAAAACACCAACTGTGTAAACAAATCACACCTTGATCAGCGCATGTCGAAAAAAAGGTAAGCGCTCGCCACCTCGAGGGCGCCCCGACTCTGCCAACCCAGAACCGAGGTCGACATGCCCAGCTAGGGGGATGCAAATGCACACTTCCCCGGCCCAGGGCGCCCCTGGCCCAGGGCGGCCAACGGCCCGAAGACGTCCAAAAAGGCTTCGAAGGACCCCAAAGAAGGCCGCCCAACAATCCGAGAACACGAGAGGTGTCACATGTTATGGACCTCTTAACAGTCAAAGCTCCGCGCATCGCCATACAGACCGCTGCACTGGCAAGGGGGCGGACCTTGCCGCATGCATCTATCATTTACATGTTGGCCATGCGACTGCGCTCGGCGGCCGTGCCGCCCGCGTTTGGATTGCGCGCCCGAACGCTCGCATTGGCAATCTCCTCTGTTTGGTTGCGCCGCTGTGCTCGGATATCGAAAAAGGCGATATATCGCATATACGGGCGCGCGGCACCAGGGACGTCACTGTTCGAACAAGGAGGGAAGAGACGAGGCAGGACGACGGACGCTGGAGGAGGGAGGTAAAACGGAACGAGGAATAATGGGGCGCTCCCCCGCCCGAGCCGCGGACGCTTTCGACACCACTCAGGGGGCGGAAGAAAGGAGGGGGAACGGAGCAAGGACGAGGACGACGACGGGAAGCACACTGTCCTGGGTCCGCATATAGCCATGTGCTTGCGATTCGTGTGCGCGCGCTTTCTTCGAGGCACTTCAAGCCCGACCCATACTGAATTCACTAATTCCTCCAAGCTGTGTAAACACTCTGTCCTCTGTAACCCCCTCCTATGCAACTGCCTCAAGACAGAGAGGCATTGGATTCCAAACTGGGAGGCGCCCGCACCGCCCCGTTCCACCAACTGGAACTGCCGCAACCCGAACAAAAACCAGCTACGGCAAACCTGGTTGAGTGATTCTGGCAAATTTCGGGGCTCCAGGGCCCTACTACTCACCGGGTCCCCTTACCTGGGGTCCTGGCTCTTCTGAGGTCGGGCCTGTCCTCCTACAGGGGGATTTTGGACGACAAGTGAAAAATACTCAAAGCATGCATCAAAATTGCCAGAAAGTATTTAAAAATAATCCCCAGACTATTTTTACCTAACAGCGAAGACTGATAGGTTTCTAGTGGTGTCAAAAGACAGCATCGTGACTCCTCAGAGGGGGTCGGGGCGGGACCCGGGGCGGCTGCCGCCGAAGCCGAAATCGCTTGGGACATCCTCGCAAAATCGCTCTTGGCGCTCCCAGAACTCCATTCCCGGGCCACATTTTGAATGCCCGGAGCCAACTGTAGGCCACTTCGTGCTCTTCGACTTCCCAGAACTCCATTCCCGGGCCACATTTTGGATGCCCGGAGCCAACTGTAGGCCACTTCGTGCTCTTCGAGTTCCCAGAACTCCATTCCTGGGCCACATTTTGGATGCCCGGAGCCAACTGTAGGCCACTTCGTGGTCTTCGAGTTCCCAGAACTCCATTCCTGGGCATGATTTTGAATGCCCGGAGCCAACTGTAGGCCACTTCGTGTTCTTCGAGTTCCCAGAACTCCATTCCCGGGCCACATTTTGAATGCTGAGGCAGGCTGATGCTGAGGCTGAGGCAGGCTGAGGCTGAGGCAGGCTGAGGCTGAGGCCGAGGCTGAAGGCAGACTGAGGCTGAGGCTGAAGCAGGCTGAGGCTGAGGCTGAGGCTGAGGCAGGCTGATGCTGAGGCAGGCTGAGGCTGAGGCTGAGGCTGATGCAGGCTGAGGCTGAGGCAGGCTGAGGCTGAGGCCGAGGCTGAAGGCAGACTGAGGCTGAGGCTGAAGCAGGCTGAGGCTGAGGCTGAGGCAGGCTGAGGCTGAGGCAGGCTGAGGCTGAGGCTGAGGCAGGCTGAGGCTGAGGCTGTGACTGCGACTGCCGTTGCCACTGCGACTGTCATCGCGAATGCGACTACGACTGCGAGAACAGCAGAATTCTACAACTGGATTCTCATCTGAATCTTAAGGGGAATGCTTCCAGATATGCTCCTACACATCGCTGTTAGGTTGCTTTGCCAAGATAATTTGACTGTTTTTGCATATTATTCTGCTACCGCCGCCTGCCGCCCCCGCGTCGGCCTCTCTGCAGGCGGCGGCGCTCTCGCTCAGCTGTTCCGCGCGGGAGGGCGCCGCCTGCCTCCGAGGAGGCGATGGCGAGCCCGTCGATCCTCGGAGGCGAGGCCCTTCCCGGAACGCCTCGTCTTGGGACGCGCAGAGGCATACTGATGCTATATGTCCGCCTTGGAGGCGCGCGTCCGACCCCAACATATGGTATATCCATCTTGTAGTAGATCGTTTCCCGAGCGGTGTGGCCAGAGAGCGCCCGCCACGACGCATATACTATGAGATTTCTCGGTGCGCGCATCGCCCCCGGGGGGCGACGCACATATAGTATAAGTATGTTGGGGTGACGCCGACATCTGTGCATCGCTGGTCTCGCTTACGATCATCGGAACGCGCAGGCAGGAGCGAAGAGGGGGGATCGCAAACACGATGGCCTTGACGACGACCAGACCGGCTGCGCCCACCACCACGATGGGAGCGGTGACCGCAAGGATCGCAGCTGTGCGACTGTAGCAGAATGCCGCTGAAGCGAGGCCGCAGAGGCAGCTGGACCTCGCTGATTGAGCACGCCCTTCGCAGAGGTCCCAAAAGAAAACCATGAGGCAACCGTCCGAAAATTTCGTCTGGTACACTCTGCGCAGACATTCAGTCGGACTCGATCGGACAGGACACGCGAGAGGACACAAGACCTTCTCCGAGGGCCACATTGCCACAGGAAGGCTGGAAGCATGGGCCGCGAGACACAGGACACAAGGGTACCCTTGATTTGGCAGGGTCGACCTACTAATCTGGGCCGACTGTAGGTCAGGGCATCGGGCGCGTGCCTGCCAGCAGGCCGCGCGAGCCTCCCAGGGACCCCTGGCGCAGGCGCGCCCCGAGGAACCGCCCGCGCCGCCTCCGATCAAAACGCTCCCTTGGCTGGGGGCCGCAGCTTCGGAAGCGCCACCTTCAGGCACACCCGGCCGTGGAGCGCCCTGCCCTCTCGCGCTCTCTCCCTCTCTCTCTCTCTGCCGCACGCCCACGATCGCCGCGGTGACAGGTCTACATATTCAGAAAGGATATGGAGGGGCCCTGGGACACACAAATACAGACACACGAATACCAGGAGTCCCCCATATTTTCCCCATATGTTCTGGGTTCTTGTCTTCCCCCCCACTCCCCATATATTTTCCTTCATTCTCCTGGGGAGCGACGATTAATTGTGCCTGTGTGTTTTTCCCCTCCTGACAGCTGTAAGGCCCAATTGGCCCCCTCGGAGCAGAAGCATAAGGTGGTGACCCCAGAGGGAGGGGCCCTGTTTTTCCCCTATATTCCTGGGGATCGACGATTGATTGTGCCTGTTTGTCTTTTCCCCCCTGATGACCACCCTGGACCACCACAGCTCGCCGTGCACCTCTGGGGGGAGCCACGGCTCACCGCTCCCTCGCCTATACGGGGGGGGAGGTGCTGCAGGCACCTCCCCGGGCCCAGGCTCGCCCTGCAGCGCCTCTCGCTCCCCTCCGGAGCCGCCGGGGCCCCCCCTGGGCCTCGTGGCGGGGCGCTCTCGGGGAGGCCGCGGGGGGGCCTCCCTGGGAGCTCCCTGGGGGGCACCAGCCTGGGCCGGGGGGGCACTCCGACCAGCCATAACTGGGGGAGCTGTGGTCCTTGCCCCCCTGGGGGGACCCATCGCATCGACGATCTCTCGAGAGGGGTGTCGAAATCGATGGGTCCCCCAGGGGGGTAAGGACCACAGCTCCCCCAGTTGTGGCTGGCCTGGCACTACTTCTGGCCGCGCCCGAGGTCACGTCCTGACCCGACAAGAGCCGCCGCCGTGCCGTTGCGCACGGAGCGCCGTGCCCCAGACGGAACGGCGTAGGATCCCACGGTGGTCCCACGCGTCTCCGGGCAACGCCCCCGCCCCGCGCCCTGCACCTGTCGGAGGCTTGGAAATGGGCACCAACACCAACACGGGGGGTTGCCTCCACCCGGGGAAGACGATCCCAGATTTCGGTGTTGGTGGTAATCTTTCGGCCACCTAGGAAGCCCGAATAGTACCACCATCACCGAGATCGGGATCGCCATCTCTCGGTGGAAGCACACCGCCGATGTTGGTGTTGGTGTCAACCTCTCAGCCTGCGAACCGTGCCCCGGACGGAACGGGCAGGCCGTGCCCCAGACGGAACGGGCAGGATCCTACGGTGGTGAACGCGCCTCTGGGCAACGCCCCCGCCCCGCCTTCTCATCCTCCTCCTCCTCCCTCCTCCTCCTCCTCCTCCTCCTCCTCCTCCTCCTCCTCCTCCTCCTCCTCCTCCTCATCATCATCATCATCATCATCATCATCATCATCATCCTCTCGGCGGTGGACAAACCTCCCTTTATTAAACCTCCCTTTAGGGAACAACGAACTAGGACCGAAACCGACGGACCTAGACCCGCAAAAGTAACGGCCACGACGCCCTCTCGCGAGCCGAAAACGGCCACTTCACTAATCGACGCGTCACGGTAGGGGGTCTCTCAACCTCCGATCCTCCCCCTCCTCCTCCTCCTCCTCCTCCTCCTGCACCTGGCCCCTGGTCCCCTCCTCTTCCTCCTCCTCCTGCTCCTCCTCCTCCTTCTCCTCCTGCACCTGGCCCCTGGTCCCCCCTCCCTCTCCTCTCTCCTCCCTCCTCCTCCTCCTCCTCCTCCTCCTCCTCCTCCTCCCTCCTCCCTCCTCCTCCTCCCTCCTCCTCCTCCTCCTCCTCCTCCTCCTCCTCCTCCTCCTCCTCCTCCTCATCATCATCATCATCATCATCATCATCATCCTCTCGGCGGTGGACAAACCTCCCTTTAGTAAACCTCCCTTTAGGGAACAACGAACTAGGACCGAAACCGACGGACCTAGACCCGCAAAAGTAACGGCCACGACGCCCTCTCGCGAGCCGAAAACGGCCACTTCACTAATCGACGCGTCACGGAAGGGGGTCTCTCAACCTCCGATCCTCCCCCTCCTCCTCCTCCTCCTCCTCCTGCACCTGGCCCCTGGTCCCCTCCTCTTCCTCCTCCTCCTGCTCCTCCTCCTCTCCTCCTGCACCTCCCTCCCCCTCCTCCTCCTCCCCTCCTCCTCCTCCTGCACCTGGCCCCTGGCCCCCTCCTCCTCCTCCTCCTTCTCCTCCTCCTCCTCCTCCTCCTCCTCCTCCTCCTCCTCCTCCTCCTGCACCTGGCCCCTGGCCCCCCGCATCCCTGGCGTGCCTGCTCCTCCGGCGGCCTCTCTCCGCCCCGGCGGGGCAGGGGCAGCCCGCGCAGCTCCCGCGGGCAGGGGGCGCCGGCCCGCCTCGCCGCCGCCGGGCAGGACGACGCGGGCGGTGACCTCGTCGATGCGGTAGCAGGTCTTGAGGCCCGGGAAGGCGGACGAGTAGGACCACATCTCGTCCTCCTCGGGCGCGCACCCTCCCCCTCCTTCTCCTCCTCCTCCTCCTCCTCCTCCACCTCCTGCGTTTCTGCGTTTCTCGCTATGCAGCGTCTTGTCGCGCGCCCCGCGGGCGCGGAGCGCTCTGCAGCGGCCCACCAGGGCCGTGCGGGCGCTCAGACTGCGGCCCCGGGAACCCGGCCCCGAGGGAAAGGGGAGCCTGGGACCAGTAAATCAAAGAGAAGGGAGAGAGGGGCCGGGTTTCAGTAAAGCAAAAAGATGAGGGCCCATCTGGGCCCTCGGCAGGCGCCGCGCGCGCCCGTGCCAGCTCAGCCAGCTCGGCCCGCAGCCAGGCCTCGGCCTCTTTGTGGGCGGTCGGCCTGTTGTGTGGCGGCTGGGCTCCCTTCGGCGCCTCGCGCTGAGCCCAGCCGCCAGGTCATCAGGTGGCTGGCCGCCTTCTCTGCGGCGGCCTCCACCCTTCGGCGCTCAGCGCTGTGGAAGCCCGCCGAGCCTCTGACTTCAGCGGCTCTGCAGCGCTGTCCTGGCCTCGGCCTCTTTGTGGGCGGTCGGCCTCTTGTGCGGCGGCTGGGCTCCCTTCGGCGCCTCGCGCTGAGCCCAGCCGCCACGTCATCAGGTGGATGGCTTCCTTCTCTGCGGCGGCCTCCACCCTTCGGCGCTCAGCGCTGTGGAGTCCGCCGAGCCTCTGACTTCAGCGGCTCTGCAGCACTCTCCTCGCCTAGCGGTAGGTCTCATGTACGGCGGCTGGGCTCCCTTCGGCGCCTCGCGCTGAGCCCAGCCGCCAGGTCATCAGGTGGATGGCCGCCTTCTCTGCGGCGGCCTCCACCCTTCGGCGCTCAGCGCTGTGGAGGCCTGCCGAGCCTCTGGATTCAGCGGCTCTGCAGCACTCTCCTCGCCTGCCACGCGAGGGCCGTGGTCATGTCCCCCTGCTTTTGAGCTGCAGGAGGGTACTGATCTCGGATGTTATAGGTGTCGTTGTATGGGGCTGCGTGCAGATGTGGAGCGAGTTGGCGAGGTCGTTGGGGATCGGGCTGTTGCTGGTGTTGTGTTGGTGGTGGGCTCCCAAGGCCTCCATGCACCGACTTCAAGTGGGGGTCGTTACTGTCCCACCTCGTCCCGCTATGGCTAGGGGTCACGGTGCCCTCGGTGGGGGCGAACCCCAGGCCTGGTACTTGTTGTCGGAGTGGTGTGTCTCGGCTGTCCAGCTTCGCCCTCGGGCGATCGGGTAGCTCCTCCTTCTCCATGGGAATGGTGGGGGTGGCGAGCTAGGGCGGACCGCGGGGGCGCGGGTAGTGGCCGTCCTACCCCCCCCCCCTGCCCCTCACCATCCCCGCTGGCGGGCGCGGGAAGTACTCGTCCTTCCCCCTCAGCCCTTCGAGCCCGTCTCGAAGTTTGATCCTCACCAGGACAGCGTTGACTTGAAAGGAGTTGTAGGGGATCGTGTTGGGTATGCTGTCGATGTCGGTCGGTGATACGCTGACGGCCAATGGGCCGCCCACTGCCAGCCAGCTGGCGCCATCCATACTGTAGATCTCCAGGAGCCGCCGCGGTACACATCAAAACGTGGCGACTTGTGCCTGGGGTGTTCCCTCGCATTCGGGGCTTCCCCAGGTCTTGCGTTCTAACGATAACCAAGGTTGGCACCGCTGCCTGAGGTCTTCCCACGCATTCGGGGCTTCCTCAGGACTTAGGCAGCACGCCGTAATGCCTGCCCAGGGCCAGATGATCATAGTAAACAATGCCAATGTTAGGAAAGTCGATAAATCCAGCAAGCGCTCGAGGGGGGGGCACGCTCCGTCGCCATTGAGGGATCGTGCCCACCCGTATGGGCGCTACGGGTCCCCCCCCCTCGAGATGGCACGCAATCGGTGTCCAGGTCGCATCCGTACCAGTAACCCGTTGGCAACAGGGTTTGGGCCATGCCGTAGGTGCGCTGAGACTTCTGCAGCCAATCTGAAATACTCTGTATAAAATATTGTAATGCCAGCTGCCATCAGATCTGTAGCAAGCCGGTGGTCTGCGCCGAATTGCAGACCAGTGTTCCCTTGCGGGGCAAAAGTATATAGTACTGGACGCTTGACTCGCCTGGCTGCACCAAATAAGCCGCCGCGGTGCCAATGCTAGCGCCGATGTTTGCCCCATGCCCTGTGACAATCATGGCCGATCTGGTCTGTCTCCATGTAGTAATCCAAGGGGGCGTAGAACCTGTGGTAGCAGTCGTCCGTTTCGGCCCACATTGCCTCTGCGTCAGCAAGCTGCCCCCAGTGGGCTGCGAAGGCGGTAGCCATTGCCTTACACAGCCTTGATGGATACTCTTTGAGGGGGGCGGTCCTCCAGCCGCCTTGGCCGTCTCGTCCGTAAACTCCGGCATGTCCCGCATGTCTGCATAGCTGTCCCCCAGGTACCGCCCTTAGCTCCTGTGCGAGTTCACCGAGGTGTGCCGCCATCAGACATGTTGGTTTTCTCGCGTCCTGCCCGAACTGGCACTGGTCTATGTAGTGCAGTTCGACGCCCGTCTGCTCCAGGAGCCAGAGCGTCTCTGCTCGCTGCCAGCTGCTGGGCGCTTGGGGGCACCATGTGGCTGGGGCGGGATGCTCGAGTACGGCTGAGACGTTGTACTGCAGGCCCGTGGTGATGAGTAGTAAAGCTGTCCTGTATAGCTCGTTGGCTAGTGCGATCTGTTGATGCTCCGCTTGGCTAGCTGCTTGTATGCCCCAGGGGGCTTCATGTGTACGTAGTGGTCGAGGTGCCTTCCCCTCGGCGGCATGCCAGCGCGATGAGCACCACGTCTCGCAGGGCGGGCCTGCCACAATACCAAATATTTTGCCCTGTCGTATCGCTGCGCACCAAAAGTCGACGACGTCTGGCTTCGTCAGGTCTCCTTTGACGGGGTCTATCTGCACGTCGATCGATAGTACTACCAAGTTGCATTCCCGTATGTTCATCTCGAAGTGGTACTGGAAATCCTCGATTCGACGTCTGCCCGAGAAAAGGTGCAGCAAGAACATAGCCGTGGTAACCATGGGCCTGCACGGTGAGAATACGATTGCAGGTGGTGTCGCTGTTTGGACGTCCGCTGCCGCAGGCGGGGCCGGCGAGAGTTGGAGCTGGTGCTGCTCTATGTAGTCGGCCAGCTTGAGCTGTATGACCTGTTGGGCGGGCACCAGCGCCTTTGTAGCTCCATGCCCCATTGCCTTCCTCGCCGCCACAGCTTCTCGTTCTTCTTCTCGGCGTTCGGCTGCCTCCTGCAAATCCATTGGGACCTCGATGGCTTGGAGGACCGCCAGGCACTTGGGGCACCTTCTCAGGTGCTTGAGTATGCGGGATCTCGTTATGAAGTTCTTCCCGCACCCAGGGCAGGTAGTCGAACGGGCAAGCAATTCGGGAAGGTCGTAGCCGATGTGTTCCATTGTGCGATGGCGCTTCCATGCTCCCCGAGTTTTTAATATCTTGCCACACTCATAGCATATGTAGCCACAGTGCTGTGCGGGCGGCAGCCCCTCGAAGTTGGGCGTGGTCATTCCAAACTCTTGCGCAAGACGGTGTAGCTGCCTTTGCCAAACTCGATGTCGATATATGTCGTGCTGCCATGCTTTGTACCTGAGCCACGCACGGGTGATCGTGGCTTGTGCGGCTCGCACTTGCTGTGTGCGTAGCCATCGCAGCAATCCCCTGATGTCGCTGCCGATGTCCTCGTCGTCTAGTAGGAAACTTCTTATCCAGTCCAGATCTTCGACGATAAGAGCGTTCCAGGCCTTCTCATCCTCCCAGAGTTCGTCGATGAGGCGGTGGAGGAAGGGCGTGTCTGCATGCGCCATCCTGGCCAGGTGCATCAGGCGCCGTCGGCGCAGATACATGTGGATCGGTACTTCGTCGCACAGCAAGTATATTTCGTCATCCAAGGTATGCACATGTCCCGCGCTGTGTCGCTGTTGTCTTGCGGCGGCCCGCAGACTCGCCATGTGTCTGCTCTGCAGCATCTGCTTCTGCTGTACTGTAAGTGGCCCCCACACTTCGCAGTCGTAGGTCAGCTTGCTTTGCGCCAGCGCCGTGAGGTACAGCAGCTTGGCCTTGAGGTCGATGTGCGGTAGGCGGAAGATGGACTTCTTCAAGGGGCCCTCTGCGGATCTGTGGTCTATGATGCGTCTCATAAGGTTCGGCCCCTCCCCACCATCACTCGTCACGATGTTGCCCAATGTGAGTCCCTGGGTCGTGACCTCCGCCGTTGACACTTCAGTGCTAGTTGGCGGTTGGCCATCCTCGCGCCGCAGCGTGGTGGGATTTGTCTTGAAAATCTTCGCCTTGATATGCTGCTTGGCGTGCCCATCGATATGCAGCAACGCTTTAGTCTTCTTGGGGTGTAGGTCATGCCCGAAGATCTTGAGTCTCCTTGCAATAATGGACAATATGTCGAAGATGCTGCTCTCGATTTTCGTGTTGTCGTTAAGTGCGCACAGGAATGTTGCATCGTCCATGAAGGATACTTCTGGCAGGGTCCCTTCCAGCCCTTGGAGCTGGCCTGACGTGACAATGGCTTGCTCGCCCGCTGGTGGTAGTTGTAGTAGGTACCCTCCTGCATGTAGCTCCTGCTCCAGTGGGCCCAGAGCGTGCGCGAAGCTGATGTTGAAGATGAGGTCGGCCAGGCCGTTGCCTGGGCGTGTGCCCTTGCGGCTCTCCGCGCAAAGCTCTTCTCCCCGCACTTGGAAGAATGTCGTGTCGTGTGCTTCCTCTAGCTGGAATCGCAGGTTCTCGTCTACATCGTTGAGTGCTAAGTAGCCTGGAGACGCTATCAGCTGCTGGATGGCCGGCATGAGCCATTCAGGTGGAGCGCCTCCTGCCATCACCTTTAGGAGCCAAGGCTTCTCCCCTTCCCGTCCCAGCACAAATTCTCGAATAACTGAATAAAAGGCCTGTCGTAGATCCAACAGGATGCCGACTGCGCTGAGACGTCTCCGCCTGCAGATCCTGAAAAACGCTTTGATAGTATGTGTAGAGTACGCGCCTGACTT